CCAGTTTGTCCAGCCCAGCTCTCCTGCCCCATTATTGCACGATCAGTTCTAAGCTTTGGAGTCTGTGTAGCCAGCGGCGTTTCCCTGTGGGCTTTTCTCAGGGAACATCTTGCAAATTGCTACAGAGAACTGCAGAAATAATTGATCCCTTTTAAAAAGAACCTTCCTTCTGTAGCTTCTGTGATCCCTTTTTGCTTTGTCTTACATTAATGCACTGTGAATATTATCTGTTCATAGCTATTTATATGTATAGTCAAGAAACATGAAAAAGTCATGCTCAATGGTTCCCGCTTTAAAAAATTCTACTTGGCTGATGCTGTTAGCACTGAGTCTTTCTGCCAAAGAAGAGAGAAAACCTCAGAGCAGTGGTTGCCAGGCATGTGGGGTGGGAGGTTGGGGGAGCAGACAGTTAATAGTTGTGGAAGAAGGATCTGGAAGGGAAATCTAGGCAGTTGGAACTTTACCCTGTAATTGTGAAGTGGGCTTCAGGGAGCTGGGCTCTCCTTTTGACCCTGCCCTGGGTATCCGGGTGATGCTGCACTGGTCGAAGGCTGCTCAGCCTGTCTTTTCCTCTATCAAATAAGGAAGTTGACCTGGAGCAGGTCCCTTCGACGCCAGTCTTCCCTGTTGCTGTGCATATGCATGACCCAGAAGTCAGTTAGGCATCTAGAAATTTCTAACAAAAGCAACAATTCCTGCTGGAACCGACTCCAAACACACTTGTGGTGAAACCTGGTAAGGAGCTCCCAAGCTCCCACTGGTAACTGTTGGTGTCTCGATCTTGCCACATGTCCCCTCCCTGTCCACGCTAAATTCCTGATCTACCCCCTTTCCTGACTTCTAAAGTGCACATCCGTCTGTGCCTGTGGTTTGTGTGACAAGGGTAGCATTGAGTTGTAGAACCCTGCGTCCATTCTTTGCCACAAATGGGATTCAATATGCAAAGAGCAAAAATGGGTTTCTGAACAGCTGCTTGCAGTATGAAGTGTAAGGCTCAGAGAGGGCAACAGTACGCTCGGAAGAACTGTGTAAGACATTCATGCCTAATCCTCTGTATAGGGGCACAGATGCCTGACACAAGTCGTCTGTAATTTTGCCGGGGCCATCTTTGAGTCATAAACACTAGGGGGCTGCCAGAGGGAGGCTTCCTTGGCTTTCAGCGGAATCTAATAGCCTGGTCTTTGCATTTCATGGCAGCAAACCAGTTTTGTCTCTTGGATAAAAAATCCACTGCCCCGCTCCCAACAAACAGACAACTTCTAGCGCGCGGCCAATATTTATGGGCGGAGAGCTGGGAAAGCACAGATGATCCTTTGCCAGGCGGTAGACGTTTTGTGCAAATTAAAGAATGGCCTTCAAAGTCAGAATTGTTCTGTGAGCAAGATCATCACGTTCTCTATTTGGAAATAAGCAGAAAGCTCCACGCTTTCATCGATAACTGCTGGCGGTGTACATTACCTCATTATTCAGAGTCAATCCTCATTATTCACAGGTTCCGTATTTGCAAATTCACCTACTCACTGGAATTTAGTTGTAACTCCAGAATCAATACCCGCGCCACCTTCATGGTTTCTCCCAGGCCTGTGCAGGTAGGCGAAAACACTGGGCACGTGTTCTCGGCTGAAGCCGAGTAAGGCTCTGCCTTCTTGTTTCCTCTCTCACGCCGGAAACAAGTGTTTTCACAGTGCCACGTTTGTCAGATTGTGTGCTCTTTGTTGGTGATGTTGCTATTTCAAATGCCCCCAAGCATAGTGCCACAGTACTGTCTGGTGTTCCTAAGTGCAAGAAGGTCTGTGATGTGTTTTACAAGGAAGACAAACGTGTTAAAGAAGCTTCATTCGAGGCACGAGTTATAGTGCTGTTGGCCATGAGTTCAACGTTTGGGGTGTGACAATACATATTATTAACAAGGCATCCTTAAACAGAAACAGACATAAGACAAGGCTTTGTATTGATCAGCTGATGAAAATATTGTGACCTGGGGCTCACAGGAACCTAACCCTCTCTTTCCCCTAGGAGCAGTGGTTCGGTATTCACTAATTCAGTGTCTGCGGTGACTTTATAGAACTCGGCTACTGCAAATAGCAAGAATCAATGTATTTCCAAATTTAGGAACTCCCAATAATGTCTTACGTTATTTCTTGGGACAGCCAGGGAGATCTGGTACTACTGATTTCATTCCATTTTCTGCTTCATGGAAAATGGGAAGTTAGAAAAGGTTCCTCATTCTGTGATGAGCAGATTTTCTCGCTATTCAATTCAGCCAGGTACTAATTGAGTCCCCCAGAATCTACTGCTGCTGGAAGATAGCCAAAGAACCAGTCCTCTGACCTCAAGAGCTTTCACATCTGTTAAAATGACCAGGCTTAAGGTGGCAAAGGTACCTGGGTCAAAAGGAAAGTGAAAACATCTTAGAAATAGCAGGAGAAGAACAAGCTCTCTGAGGTATAACCTCAGGGAAACAGGCCATTTTTCTAATAGTAACCTTGAACTGTTAATTTAGTGTTTCCTCCCAGGAACTCTGCAAAGGAAGTTCAGCTTTAGCCAGAGCTTCTAATTAACTCCAAAGTTTCTACCACATCAGCAAACACCTAAAGACCACCCTAGTGCTTGTCTCTCACCTGACAGAAGTCAAAAAACTGATGTAGGTGAGAATTGCACAATAGGAAATCCTTTTTTCTCTATGGGAAATGGTGGCTATATTTCCCTCAGCTTGATTATTTTGGAGGTCTGTAATCTTACAGCTGAAAAAATAGTATTTATGATACTCAGAATAAAAATAGTAATATTAATTTATTAAGCACCTCATTTATGTCAGGGTCTGGGCCGTGTGCTGGGAATGCAGAGATAAAAGCCACAGTCTCTGCCTCTGAGTATCTTACAGTGAAATGGGAAAACCTGGACGTTGTAAAAGTGGGGTAAGTGCTGTGGGAGAGGGAGGCAGGGATGGGGCTTGTTGCAGCACAGAACCCAAGGTGGGAGGCTCTGGTGGAGGAGGATTTATGCTTCTTTCTGGAACAGTCTTGAGAGTGCAGGAGGAGTTGAGCTAAATGAAGCATGAAGACTTGGACATTCCAGGAAGCGAGAGCATCACATGAAACCTAGAGGCATGAAAGAGTTATGGAATGTTCTAGACCAGAGCCCAGAATGGGGAATGGAAGAGTTGCAAGACAAAAAGCTAGGGAGAAGGGACACCAGATCACGGTGTCCAGAGCGGCCTTGAAGGCCAAGTAGGAAGGTGTACTCCTCTGCCGGAGCTCACACAGGTGAGCAGTATCATCCTAGTTGCACATTTTGTAGATCAATTAGCAGCAGTACAGAGAATGCACTGTGGGCCAGGCACATCTGCAAATAAAGAGAACAGTTATGCTGTTGGAAAAGCCACCGGGGAAACCAAGAGAGGAGCAGTAGGAATATAGTCAGAGAGGAGGAGAACTAGGAAAGTAGAATTGGGAGAATGTGAAGAGCAGTCGGAAGAAAGAGAGAACAGGGAGACAAGATGCATGTTTGGAGATGATGATGAGTTTGGTTGGGATGTACTGAGCTGGTGGTCCCATGGACCATCCCAAGGAGATGACAGCAGGTAGCCAGATATCCGGGGTTGAGATTAGGAGAGGGGTTTGGGGTGGAGATGACAATTCGATGATCACTTTATAGTTGACCTCTGAAGCCCAAGGTTTACATGACACAAAACAAAATAAATGTGTTCAGTTGAGAATAGAAGAAGGCCACTGAGACCCTCTTCAGAAACACTAGCATTGAAGAGAGTAACAAAAGAATATAGGTCTGAGATGAAAGCCAGAGAGGAAGTAGACAGAAATGAAGGCAAAACAGAATAGTGTCAGATGTGACAGAGACGTTGTGGAGTAGGGCGTGGTCGAGGGAATCCAATGATGTGGGGAAGGAAATCCCAAGGTAATTGATTGTTAATGACCTAGAGCAGATTTAATGGGCAAGTGGGAATGAAAGCAGATGGCCTGGCGTAGAGATGCAAAAGGGATGAAGAAATTAAAACAGTGCAAGTGTGGGCCAGCTTCTAGGTAAACTTGGCTTCCAAGGGAAGGAGGGAGATAGGAGCAAAGGGAGGGAAATAGAAAGTTAGGGAGAGTTTCTGCCATTGCCAGTTGGAATTTAGCAGTAGTTCTTAATTGCTTGCAGGGTAAGGGAACATTTTCATATTGCACATGACTACAAAATTACACAGGCTACATGATCAAAACTTCATAGTGAGGAAGGAAGGAGGAACAAGAGAGGATTGGGAATCAAGAAGCCTTGGGTCAAGGTTTCTGAAGATGATGTTTTTTTATGAGAACTTATAAAGCATAATGGAATAGCCCCAGATCAGGACCCAGGAGGCCTGTGACTGCCTCTGATTAGCTTTTGCAACCTCAGTCAAGTTCTCTCTCTGTGAGCCTGAGTATTCTCATCTGGAAAGTCTGCCAAATACCCCCATCTCACCTGTATCTCTGGTCATAGTGAGAATCAAACAGGGTAACGTGTGTGAGGAGCACAGTGGTGGAAATTGGAAAGCCCTGTACAGTTGTGAGATGTCATTGCTCGAGAAGAGGGGGGGGCCCTCTTGACACCCTTTCCATTTGCTGTTGTGCCTTTTCCTGTTGAAGTTAGCTCAGGCACCGTGGGAAAACTTCCTTCCAAACTACAGACACGGTCTCTCTCTCTTCTGGGGGTTTCTCATCTTTTTCTTTTTTTCTTTACCCATTCTAGATGGAGAGTTGTATAAATGGATAGGAAGAAAAAAAATTTTAATTTTTTTCTTTTTATTTTTCTCAGCATATTATGGGGGTACAAATGTTAAGGTTACATATATCGCCCTTGCTCCCCCTCCCCCCTTGAGTCAGAGTTTCAAGTGTGTCCATCCCCCAGTTGGTGCACATCACACTCATTATGTATGTATATAAATTTGTAAAAAATCAAAAAAAAAAAAGTTACAATAGCACTCATCACTAATTGTTTTTAAAATGGATGGAGAAATGCATGAAAAAATATGCAAATACATTCCTTTCTAGAGATTTAATCTAGAGATTTAATCAGTTAGCACCTTTTGGGGAAAATCATCTTTGTGGGGATCACTGCCTTAAAGAAGGATGGCACTACACCGTGCCTGCTGAGATGACAGTGGCCACAGGGCAAGCAGACCACACAGACGTCCACTTCCTTCCTCTCTCTATTGTCTTAAATTAGCACTTCCCTCCTCTTCCAACAAAACAATACTCCTTTGTTATTTGCCATGCTGTTGTTAATATCTATACTTTTAAGTTAATACAAAATTTTTTTTAAAAATACCTGTGCTAGGAATTTCAGACTAAAACAACGAATGCAAACTGGCATGATACAGCCTGGCCAAGACTGTCTTTGCAAATATGTTTTATTTAACCCATAGGTTGTTTTTAAAAATTGATGTATTTTATATTTCAACATACCAGTCACTACCACCTCTTTAGAACATTGGAAGATCAGCCAACACAAAGTAGGGCTTTTATTCCCCCCCCCCAAATACCAGGGGACCGGAGCTTGAGTGGCTCTGCCTTCCACATAGTCCCAAGCCTCACTCCTCCTTACTGTCTCCCCAGCCTGGTGCCAGCAGTTTCCTGGAGATTTCGGAGTGCGTGAATCCTGCTGTATAGCCAAACCAGTAAAGCACAACGAAAGGGAAGAAGTTTGTTTCCGAAGATAGAGTGGTTAAAATAAAGAAAAAGGGAATAAACTTTTTTTCATTCAAATACATGGGCTGCAATGCCTGGCTCTCAGCTCTTAGCATTCTGTCTACATTAGCAGGGGATCCATACCAGTAGAAGTCAAACCTTTTCCTTTGTTTGCTTCTTTTCCTGGTGGAGATTAAAATAAAAGCAACTAGTACCTTCAGGGAAGTCCTAATGCACAGCCCAAAAGAAAAATGTGTATCACTTCAAAAGCTGAGGCTATCGGCCAGAAGAGTCCAGAAGGCTCTTCCTACCCTTCCAAGGTCAAGAAACTTTGATAACCTTTGACTGAATGGAAAGACATCTGGTAGACCACACTTCTCGTTTCAAGTGAGGAAGATAAAGTTCATTCTAGGTGTTATCAGCACAGACGCACTGGTCATGGCCAGTCTGTGCCACACAGAAGAAATATTCCCGAGCAGTGCATTCCTGGGTGCTCGTCAAGTGGTCTGTTGTCTGTGGAATTTCCTATGCTCCAGCCCCAGAGCAGAAAGCAACCCCCGCCCGCCCGGCTTTGGCCGTCATGAGGTTTAAAGAGGATCATTTGTTTTCATTACAGCCCCTTGAAGCCCTTCCTTCCCTCCTCATTAATGAATTTCCAGTCTTTCATCAAAAAACAAAAACAAAAAAACAAACACAAAAAGGGACCTGACAGAGGACATAGTTAAGTGGCTGGCGCGCATGGCTGTGCTGGCTTCAGAGCAAGGAGACGGCCATTTACTGATTGCGAGGAGGGGTTGACGTCCTTGGTTAGTATGCTAATTTCGTCTCCTGCATTTAACATTCAGATCAGGTCTGTACAGGCCCTCCAGAGCGGCAGAGTCCAGGGATGGGTGGCTGTCTGCCTTGCAGCATTGAACACGCTCTGCGTGAGTTACATAAATACCCAAACATCCTGTCTGCTCCCACTTCGCTCTCTTTCTTTCCCCCTCGGAGAGACACACAGACACGGAGCTACACACACGCAAGCACACACATTCCACGTGATGCCACAGCATGCACACGCAAACCCTACAGATGCAGGTCTCTGTGAATGCCAAACACATGCAATATGTTTGGAAGGAAGATGCCTGGGTCATCGGCTTAATTCCTCCTCCTCTGGGTCTCCAAGGCTCACTTCTGCAGGATCTATTTCTCTCCTGCTCGGGACACTTGGAATGTATTGGGAAATCCTAAATAAGGAAGCAACGTGAAGATTAAAACCCCAGTCAGAAAGAGGATATCTTAGTGTATTGACCTTCCAGTCTCAGAAATCCTAAAAATGCCCCCAACTCCATTCATATGAAAGAGAACCATATAGCTCAGTGAATGGAAGCCCCCAAAGAAGGAAAATACAGCTCATTTTATTACATGGGGTCCCCACCTTGTCATATGTGTTTGGAACACTGTATTGAAAGAGTCCTATTCGTGGTTGATTTTGGACTCACCAAGCCACAGCTGGGTGACAAGAGAAGAGTAATCCCAAAGTGGCTCCCCCATGGCGGTTCAAATGGCAAAGACGGTCGCCTGGCTCGCTTGCCGGGAGCCCAGCCGATGGAGAACTGAATTTCCTCAACCTCCTCTTTCCCGCATATTTCTGTACCCTGGCGGCAGCTTTCTGGAGACAAACAGAGAATCAGCAGCTCCTACTCTCAGAAGGCACATTTGGGGGTGGCTTTTCATGGACCGAAGCAGTTCTGAACAAGCAGAAGGCTCCAATTAAAAGGAAAGGACAGGTTGGTTTTTATTGTGTTGGTTTGGTCTGGTTTTAGGGGTTTTAATTTTTTTTCCCTCAACATATAACTGTGTAACCTGGCATGCCGTGGCTCTGTCCCCTGGACCCTCTGGTGGTCCCCGGTCCTGTCCCATTGTGCCCACGTAGTACTCCACCGTCTGCTGAGGAACGCCGGGCACTTCCCATCGGAGCCTCCCACCGGAGCGACGGGTGTTTTCTCTGAGCTGCAGACTTTGATTTGCCTTGATTTTTTTTTTCTTTTCTTTTTTTTTTTTTTTTTTTTTGGCTCTGGTCCAAGATGTTTTCCTGTCATCATTTCACTGTCTTTTCCAGTAATCCCTTTTTTAAACATTGCCAACAATTAGTCGATTTATCTCCACCACCACTACCCCCCACCCCCAGATCCACGCAAACACCCCCTCCACCGAGCCCATCACTGTCTTGTTTTGCCTTGAAGTATAAGAAATTACAGCTTCTCATTAGCCGGAGAGCACGTTTGGAACGGCTTTGTGTTTACTCACTTAGTAAGTGATGCTGGCCTTTTTAATTATCCTCCCCTCCGCGTGCCATCGGAGAGCAGCAAGCTGTTCAATTCAAACCCAAGGACTGCGTCTCCTCCGCAAGGCGGTTGGAAGGAATCGTGTGTTACCTCTCGGCTGCCGCTGTCTTCCTCGCCTGTCAGCGAGCCAAGGAATCCCCCCAAAGCTCTTACGTAGGAGATACCAAAACTGTGAGTCACTTTGCACTCCCAGAGCAGAGAAACGTCCACTGCACCGTGCACGTCACAGCAGACCCAAGATGGGGGTTTCCTCCAAGCCACCAAGATCCCTGGGACCCGATATCCGGTCATTGCTCAGTGTTTTCTTGCTGTTGCTCCCTCTTTCTCTTCCACCCTTGGCCATCCCTTCGCTCTGAAGTGCTTTTCTCCTTTCCTCTTCCTTCCTGCGTTGCCGACAGCCGCAGACCCAGCCAGAGCTGGGTCCCCCTCTCGCCTTCTGTTTTTTCTTTCTTTTTTTTTTTCTCCCCTGCAGCAGCCTTTGGCTGCTACCTCTGCACGCTGGATCACCAAAGACACACGACTCACTCACAATGAATAATCAATACGGATATTGATCTGGGGAAAATGTTTGTAAATTCCTGAAAGGGAATGAGGAGCCAAGAGGGGGCAGGGAGGCTCGTGGGGGACGACAGACGCGGCCGTGCTCCATGGCGGGCAGGAGGCAGAACCGCCTTTGGATCCCAAGTGTCGCCGGCTCCGAGGTGACGGGTACCGGAATGCGTGCGGACCCCGGCGTGCGCGTGTGAGGAGGGTGTTCTGTATTCTCATTGCTCTACAGCTGCTTTCCCCGAAGAATCAGGAGCCAAATGGTCGGGAGCTCCCCGTCAGCGCCATGTCTTGGCTGCGGGCCAGCACTGTTTTGTTTTCATTATCACAGGCTACTTTGCAATTTGCATAAATACAGGGTTATTTTTTATCGTGTCGCCCAAAAGATAGAGGAGGAAAAAAATAATAGAAGTCTTTGTTGTGTGCAAGAGAGGGTTGCTGCCTACTCATCGGGGCTGAGGATTTGCCTTGCAGGCAGGGCTCTGGAGCCCACGCAGAGGGCTCCAGGAGAAATACGGGCAAAGAAGGGGTAATCACGGAGAGAAAAGAATATGGGAGAGACAAAGCGTGGGAGTTAATGAGAACTGGAGGGCACTCAGCTTGGGGAAACCAAATATTAGGGATGCATTTGCCTCTTGGAGAAGTGGCGGGGACTTAGACAAGCAAGGTGGGGAGAAGAACCACCAGGGTCCCACCCAAGTCCTGGTCACTCCTGTTTCCCGCTCTCAGCTGGAATGAACTATTGATCCCTGGTGGAAAAGGCATGCAGGACAATGAGCACAAACTTGCCCTGTCACACCCTCCCCATGCAACATGCAGAAAGAGTGGGCACAGAGTGTCCCCTCTCTGCTGCCATGCGCTGATGGTTTTCCAACAGGTGAGAGGTTTTAGATCTGATCTTTCTTCCTCGCCTGCCCCAAAGCTTGAACAGTTCCTTGGAGCTCCCTGAATGGCGCTTGCCCTGGTGTTGAATGGAAGTGCATCTTCCCCTGGGTACCCTCACCTTCAAAAGAGGGGACACGAGAGTGTGTTAAGCTAGGTGACAAGCTATGGATGGCTTGCTCCTGCATGTTCCTTTTCCCTGGGGAGATGAGGCCTTGGACTTGGGAGGTCATGCCCCACTGTGATGTCAGTCACATTCACGAAAAACCTTCCAGCTTTCTCAGGCCACTTATTGGTGGTCCCCACCCTGCCTCCTGCAGCCCCACCCTGGTCTTAACTGCTTTCATCTCTCCCCACTTACTCTGTTTTTACAGTTTGGGAATAAAATCTCTTTGGGATCATTCTACCCTTTCTCTCATTGCCCTGTCTATCTCCTCCTGGCCCGGTGACAGAAGGCACGTGTCACCCCTGAGATAGCCATCTAGAGTAAGACCTCGGCGTAAGGATTCAATCCCAGCACCCCCTGTCCTGAAAGAAGCTGTCTGCTTTATCAGCCGGCGGCAGCAGCAGCAGCAGCAGCAGCAGCAGCAGGGACACTGATTTTTTTTTTTCCTTCCCTTTCTGGCTTCTGATTAGCTCCGGCAATCCAATTAGCAGAGGAATTTATATCACACGGGCCGAGGTGCCCTACTCATCACAGCAGCTCAAACCCACTCATAAATTCTGCCGATACTACAGCTTCCTGTGACATGGATTAATTGCAGCTCCAGGCCTTCCCAAGTAGGTCTACCGGGGAAGGCACGTGGGAATATCAGAAGTAAGAGGAGGCAGAAAGGGATGACCTGTGCTTCACCAAGGACGAGTGAAGGCTGCCCAGTATAGTGGGGGACTTCGGTCCTCCACGTCCTGCATCTGCACGCTGTCCCGGCGTGTGTCAGTGAGGTCACACAGGCCAGAAGTGAGCAGTAGGGAGGACTCAGAAGTGGCTTAATCATGGTACATCCATGTATATTTTTTATATCATAGAGACACTTGTTGTAAAACTTCAGGGTCCTTAGAGGGAAACTCATCTCCTGCCTCAGCCCCTATGCCTCCCAAATAATTGTTAAACTATTCAGAATAGCTTCATGAAGGTGTCATTATCTCCATTGGTTCTCCATTCCAGTTGGGTACAGTTGTGATATTTTTGTGCCCTTTCGTCTCTCTACAGTTTCATTCCAAATTTACCCTTCCATTCATCAATCGCTAGTATCTATCCATTCATCTGGCTACGTTCATTTATATATCAACTATTTATTCTGCTTCCCAGTCATCTATTCATCCATGTGCATCTCACTCTCCATTTTCTAACCATGTATTGATCTATGAATATCTTTCTATTATCTGTCATCCACTTGTCTATCCATTTGTGTCTCTCCTAATTCATGCGTCTGTATTATCCATCTACCTGTTTTTCTCTCTGTTCATTAATCTAGTCATGTATCTATCCATTCAATCATCTGTCATTTGCCTACCAGTTACCAGGGCCTTCTTACTGTGTGCCTTTTGTTAGCTATGATCTTAACAGAATCCCAGGTTCACATTTCCAATCCTTTTTAAGGTAAATAATGCCCAATTTCCAACTGAAGTTGACTACTGCTGGTTATCTGTTCTCTGATTTAAAAAAAAAAAAAGAAAAACCGAAAAAGTCTCATGAAGTGAAGAAGTAAGTCAGCAAAATCAGATGATTTATAAATGCGTTAAAAATTACAAAGAAAATATTTTTATCCTCAATTCCTGGGGCGTTTTTCTTGCTGAATAAAAGTACGTGTTTCTATCCCCTTTTAACCATGCCTTTGAAAGAGGAAACCTCAAGTAGTATCTACATGTAAATCTCATTCTGTCTCTGAGAAACCTTCATGCATGTGACCCAGTCCAACCACAGCAAACTTGAGATTACTTGTATCATAAGCAAAACTGATATTAACTCTAAAATGGTAATGGGGTTAGATATAGTCGAATCTGGGCCAAAATTTGAGGTTCAGCACCTTCTCACAGTGAGCCCTAATTCTTGAACTCCAAAGAAAATGGTTCGAGCAAAGCATCCCTGGGCTGGGGAAAGATTTTTAATGGATAAATCTCATTTCTGTCTAAGACAGAAACCCCAACTTGTTGCTGTGAGCATGGAGGACCAGAAAGCTTGGTTGGTTTTTCTGTGTGTTTCCGGAGAACCAAGAGTAGCCAGGTCAGTATCCTGATTGAACAGCAGATCTTCTTGTCTCTGACAGCACTGCCCATCTCTAATATTCTGTTAGTTTGTAGGCAGTATTATCAGTTAAGAACCTAAGTTCTAGGGTGTTTTTTTTTTAACTAAATAGAAGTATATCGAGGTAAAGTCCTTAAAACCACATTAGTTCTGGAGTCGTATTCCTAGAAGAGCAGGAAGAGACCAGAGCCGTGATGTCTTCCAAAGACACAAGGGATATGGAAATCACCTGGCTTCTTTTCTCATGTTATTTCCATGTATTCCATCACCCTAGTTCTCTGGGTTCTGTTGTAATCAGAAATGAGATGATGTGATCCTGTGTTCTAGTCTTGGCTTCTCTATCCTGCTATCCAGGGCTCATTCTCCATCAGGTGCAGCACGCTGGGTGCCTAGGGCCCGCGGCCCTTTTAGGGCCCACGAAAGTATTTTAATGTCTTTTAAAAATCATTTAAAAAGTAAACTTCTAGGTTTAAGAAAATGTTTTCACATATAATATCAACATTATTTTTAATACTCATGCTCATCTTTATACCAACACAGTTATAAAAGAGATATCTTAATAATCTTTTAGGGGGGAAAGGGAGGTCCTTATAGGCAAAATCACATGGGTCCCCTGAAACCCTTACAGAATGCAGCTCTGATGTTAACCAGGTTACCTGTAACTTAGCCGTTACGCTCACAAAAGCATGGTGGTCAAGTACATGTTCGGGAGCCAGACTGCCTGGGTTCAAATCCTGACGCTTGCTCAAGTCTTTTACCTTCTCTGGTTCTCACTTTCCTTGACTTTACAATGGAAATAGTAATAGTACATAATGTTCCAGGGTGTTGGATGATTAAATGAGATTATACATGTAAATTGGATACCCTAGAGCCTACATGTAATGAAGCCTCAATAAAATGTATTATGGTAATTGTCGTCATTATTGTTGTTTTAGCTTTGATGTCTTTGCTTTAAACGTCTGCCTCTCTAATCCAGCAGCTAGCACTAAATCAGTTCCTTTAAAGAAAAAAACTAGATTATCTTGTAGTGACCATGAAAGGAAGAAAAAGGTGGTAATTGAAGTT